CATCCTTTGCAACCATCATGTTTTTTTATTCTAGCATCTTGACGTTTGCTTAAAAAATTTTGCAATGAATGTTGCAGTTTTGCAAGATATATTTGAGTATTAATATATTGTCTTTTAATGGAATAAAATATAACATTTTTTATTGTGCTTCTTTAGTTGATTCGTTTTTCTTGTGCTTTGTAAATTAAATTAAATTTTAAAAATTCAACCATTGTGTTATCTTTAAGCTATATAGAAATAGTGTCAATAATTGTCACTATATCTTTATAGCTTATAATATTATATAATTATTATATTGAAATTTTTTTTTCAATAAACCTTGAACCAAATAGTTCTATTCTTTATGAACTAAATAATATACTCTTAATAACTAAATAATAAATACTCTTTTATGAATTTGTAATTGATTTTATATTCTTTTCAGAAATTAGGAGAAAATATATTTTATGTTAATGTGATATTTAAGTTTAAATTTGAGGTAATCTAATTTTCACTTTCTAAGAGACTTGGTACAAATAGATTTTTTAAGATTGGATTAATTTAAGAAGTATATCTAAGATCTGGTAGATATACTTCTTAAATTAATCCTTCTTATATAATATAGGCATCTATAAAAAAAAAGCAATATATGCATTTAAAAAAAAATCTTTTTTACATTTTTTTATTAATAGAATCATTAGAAGGGTATTAAATACAGTATTATTTTATATATCAGGTTTATTGCTGTAAAATATATTTAAATGTATTAAAAATATATTTAAATGTATTAAAAATATATTTAAATGTATTAAAAATATATTTAAATGTATTAAATATAGCGCAAGTATAAAAGGGACAATAAAATATAAAGAATTCAAATAGTATTATTTTTATCATACAATAAGAATATATATAGATATAAATTATTTATAAATATTAATTTTAAATAAATTAGCCTTAAAGTATCTTTAATTTCAAGTTCTTATTGTATAATTTTACAAATTTCTAAAAAAGACTGAAAAACCGGGCAATTATGTTAAACTCTTTTTGTAACAAATGCATATTTTTTCTGCTTTTTAACTAACTAATTATTTATCTTTTAACATAATAATACGGAATATTATTTATCTTTTAACATAATAATACGCTGTTTAAAATAGCTTGTTTGATTTTTATTTTTAAATCAGAATGTTCAAAAATTGTTTTTTGCATAATTTTTTATTATATATATATATATATATATATATATATATATATACATATATATATATATATATATATATATATATATATATATATATATATATATATATATATATATATATATATATATATATATATATATATATATATATATATATATATATATATATATATATATATTAGGGTAAATCAAATTTTACCCATTATTTAAAATACAGACTCTACAACCCTAAATGTGTTCTATATAATAACATAATACTGGAGTTAAAAATCTTCGGGAAAAAAAATATTTCTAGGGGTAGCAATAACCTGCAGACTATTGCAAATATCAGACGGGCCCCTAATATTATCAAGAAAAAACGTTCTTCAAAAAAATATCATGTTGGGTCTCAAAGGAAGTAAAATTTTATGTTTAATGGTAGCTTTGATTTATTTTGGCATGATCAGTAAAGTTCTAGTTTTTTTCAAATGAGATAAAAAAATATTTTATATTTCTGTTCAATAAAAGCAGAGATATGAATTTATTATTTAAAGTTTTTGTAAGTAATGAATTTTCTCTACTTTTTTTTTTTTTCAGGGTGTATGCGGTAGTGGTGTAGTGGTAGAGCACTCGCTTCACAGGCGAGAGGTTTCGAGTTTGAACCCCACCATGTCCCTGGTAGTACCGCGCTCAACTTGTTTCTCCGCGCAGTGGCCTTGTTTGACAAGGTTCATGTTTGGGTATTATAGAGTTGAGAGAAAGTAGCCTCCTCGTCTGTAGTGGCCTTCTCAGCTTTGGGGAGGTGAATTAACAAAACAAAAAAAAATTTAATGTTTTAATTATTTTTTTTCATAGCTTTTTCCCACCAATGAGAAGAATTGCAATGAATGAATTATTTTTGAAAAATTTTAAATTATCAGTTGTACATCAAGCCATTTTAATGATGGCGAATAAAAAGAGGCAAACAACATGTTCATTTTTCAATAGCATTCATAAAATAATTTCTTTCAGTATTAATAACTCAGTTTATATTTTTTTTAGTATTGTATAAATACAAAAATAATGCTGAACCTAAGTTGAGCAACATAAGAGCTAGAAAAGTTTAGTGAATACCCACCCTAAGCCATATATTGTTATTACATTTTTGTTCTACTATCGAAATGACATTTTACAAGTTCTTAATTTTTTAATTAACAAATAATTTTAGTAAACGACATCATTTATTAGAGATTTTTGACAAATTCTTTAATTTTTAGTTAATACTGCACAAAGTATAGTTTACTTGGTAATACTACACAAAGTATAGTTTACTTGGTAATACTGCACGAAGTATAGTTTTCTTGATAATACTGCACAAAATATAGTTTACTTGGTAATACTGCACAAAGTATAGTTTACTTGGTAATACTGCACAAAGTATAGTTTACTTGGTAATACTGCACAAAGTATAGTTTTCTTGATAATACTGTTAAATTATTTTTGTGTCATACTTTAAATATGAATATTTAAAGTATGACACAAAAATAATTTATAGCAATAACGGGTTATGCATAAGTCTTCGAACTTTTTTTATAGAGTCGTAAATAAATATTGTTAGTTAGGTAAAAAAATGAAACTATATGGTAATAAAGAACATTCATTCTAGTATTTTATTTAGTATTCTAGTATTAATATATTTAACATATTGAATAGACGCCTCTATCAGCGATTTTTCTAAGTTTTAACACCCATCATTAATCTTTGTAACAGATCTGGATCATTTTCTTTTATTTCATTTTATTTCATGCTCTTTATTCTCCAACCATCTCTTTGCTCTCCAACCATCACTGTATACCATCTGACTTAAAATAGCCCAAACTGTTTCAATTGGTCTAGCCTGTCGAACATTTGGTGGATTAGTGCATTTTTGTACAAATTCTATGGAATTATCAATAAACCAACTATAAACAACTGTTTTATTAGCATAATGAGCAGTTGCAAGATCTGGCCAAAACACAAAATTATTATCTTTATGATGTTCTCTAACAAATGGTATAAGTCTTTTCTTCATACATATTTTCACATGTATATTGGATGTTATTGAATTCTTTGATCTATGTATATAAGGTTCACAAAATCCATTTGAAGAAATGCAAATCCAAACCAATACCTTTTCTTCAAATTTTTTTTTCAACTTATATTTTACATCATCAGGGGCTAACAATTTATTATTTGTATAATATATATCATTTCCAGGTATATTTGAGTTTGATAGGTTAAAATATTTTTCGTCATCCATGATTATATCTTTTTCATGGAATACTTTATTAACTAATCTTCTCAATGATGTTGCTGCTCTCTGTTGTTGATCTTTTTCATACAAAGGTGCGTTTTGTTTTTTGTAGCATTTAATAACTGTTTTGAAATTAATAGTTCTTGAAATTGTGCTTTGGTTCACCTTAAAATATGAAGCTAAATACTTTTGACTAATACCAGTTGAATTATTTAGCATTTTAGTCAATCGTTTGACTTTTTTCTTATCCATTTTTGGAGGACAACCTGATCTAACCAAATCATTATACACACCATACTTCTCATACCTTGCAAGAATACTAAATATAGTTGACTTTGGTATTCCTTCATTTTTAAAATGTTTATATGTTAATTTCTTTTTATCACTTGAACGATTTTCATAGAACGTCACAATTCGTTTTGCGAGGGCTTCTCAATCAAACCTTGTCATTTTTTTGTATAGAAGTCTAGATAAAAACTAAAAGTGATTTAAATACATTAATGTTCGATCTTCAAAATAAACAATAAGTTGAAGGTTGAAAAATTACTCTCCTTATTTAAATCAGTTTCAAAAAAAGTTCGAAGACTTATGCAAGGCATAACCCGTTAAACAAGCTTAAATTATCTGAAATATTTTATTCATATTTTCAATGCAAACTTTTAATGCAAACTTCACGAAATTTAGAAAATAAAATAACTAAAAAAATTTTATAGTAATTTTATAGTAAAAAAAAAAAAAAATTATAATAACTATATTCTAATATATATTTATATATAATTTAGTAATAATTTATTTAATTTATAAGTTAGTAATAATAATAATTTATATAATAATAAGTAACTAAACAAATTCTTTTGTAATCTATAATGAAAAAATTAAAGCTTTATAATTTGATAAAAAAAGTTTTTAGATTTTTTATCAAAATTCTCTACGTCATTAGTATGATGTCATTAGTTTTAGTTTATGATATCATATACTAGAACTCTTTAAAATTAAACGTGCTTGAAGTCTGTAGATTGCAACATATATTTTAAAGACTTAAAACAACTAGCTAACATTGTAACAGCAAGCTTCCAGTAAAATAACATTTTTCTTGGTATATGTTTATTATTTTGTTTTACTCAAAAAAATTCAGCGCAAACATTTTTTTAAATTCTCTTTAAAATGAGCACAACTTGTCTTGGAACTTTGCGATCCCTTGAACTCATTCTAAAGTAATTTTTATGTTTTTGTAACAGTTTGTTTACGTTTTTTGTTTTCATTAATGACTGATTATTGCCTTTAGGCATAAAACTTTTACAGTTTTATTCATCTAAATAATATTCATATATATATATATATATATATATATATATATATATATATATATATATATATATATATATATATATATATATATATATATATATATATATATATATATATATATATATATATATATATATATATATATATATATATATATATATATATATATATATTATATATATATAATAATAATAATAATTATTATTATTATTATTATTATATATATATAATAATAATAATATTTAAAATAATATTTAGGTATTGATATCGAAGAGATCACAATTAAAAAATCTTTATCGAGAAAGGAGTTTATTTTTCGAGTATGGGATTTTGCAGGACAAGAGGAATACTTTGCAACCCACCAGTGCTTTCTGTCTTCTTCCTCCTTATATATATTGGTTTGGGATGTAAGTAAAAAAAATGAATACGCCCAACTACTTCAACCATGGTTTGAAAATTTAGTTGCTCGAGTAAAATTTTTTTATATTATTGTTGTTGGTACAAAATTAGATCTTCTTGAAAGTGATAACATAGATAACGCTTGTAATCAAATGAAAACTGAAATTGAAACGCTTATAGAAACTATTCCTGCTATTCGCAATTTAAAATATAGTGATAAATATTTTTCTAGTAGATTGAAAATTTGCTTTGTTTCTCTGAACACAAAGTTTCCTAGTTATTCTAAAGGTAGTTTGTTTTGGTTTCATTTTTTTTTTTTTGTTCATATCTTATCTGTTTGATAATTTTTTAAATTAATTATAAGTTTTTTATTGTTTAAAGCAATAGAATTGTATATTTCAAAAAAGAATAAGGTATAGAATCCGAAAAACTCATTTGAATAAATGTAATCAAATGAGTTTTTGAAATAAAATTTTTTGAAATATTTAAAAAGAAAAAAATTCTCAGGTTGTTTGAAATAAGTTTATGTTACTTTGTCTAAAAATTTTATTTTTTATCTTTAATTAATCCATAATTATAAATATGTATCTGCAGTAACTTTAGTATTGTGTTTACATTTGTTACTTATTGGAATAAATAAATAATTGAGTTTTTTTTTTGTTTTTTTTAATTAACAAATAAATGAATAAAAAATGTTTTCAATTTTTCAAAACTTGGCAAGAAAATTATTTTTTTTAATTTAGTAGAACTAACTTGCCTTCATGGATATGTTGTTATGATGTTATCAATTTAATATGTTTTTGCAGATTGAACTGAATACCTTGCCATTTTGCCATGACTTTATGTCTCTATTTAACTTTCTTCATGTTACATACTTTTTACAGGAGTTTTAACTCCTGTAAAGAGTATATAACATTCTGAATCATCTTTAAAGTATTGCTTAACAATTTCTTAAACACTTTTTTTAAAATTCTTATTGGAAATATTAGTATCAATAAAAAAAATCCGTAAAGTATGTAATCTTCCTTATACAGTTTTTTGTTTTAAATTTGAATAGATAGTGTCAAAAGTTTTAAACAAAGTGTTTTTAAAATTCTCAATTGGACAGTATCATTTGTAGTTGATTTAGGATTGCTAAAAATCTTTCAACAACTTGATGTTTTTGTTTGCAAAAACAAACAAACAAGGTTTCTGAAAAATAAAAACATGCTCCTTTTTATCTTTAATCTTTTCACTGTGAAATCAACTAATAAATTTTTTCATGCTATACATTCCAATTATTTACAAGAGTTTTAACTTCTGCCTCTTTCTTCAATCTTTTCACTCTGAAATCTATTCAATTGATTACTTTCCATGGTTGAACTTACTTACTCTTCACCTATAATTTTTATCGGATTTACTCATTTCATTATCTGCTTTTATCTGATATATTTTACATATTTCTAATACCTTTCCTGATTAGATATTCTCACATATTCTAATATCTGTCTTCGTTATTTTTTTAATTTATTTAATTAACTTATTTATTTCTGATAGTGTAATAATATTCCTTGTCAATACTGTTTCTTTACTTAACAATTTCACTTGATATCATTGACTTTGTGTCAAATCTGGACTGATAAACATCCTATCATTTTTCTTTAAATCTCTTATTTCTTTAGCTTTTTTGAGAATTGAATTTCTCTCTTTTTTATCTTTTAGTACGACAATATTTATTAAGTACGATTCTGTTATATGATTACCACCGGTCGAGTTAACTTATTAGTTAGCTCATGATTATTTTCCTAATTGATCAATAATTATTTTCAAATCTTTAACTAATTGTTCCTGTTCATATCTGTAAGTGTTAAATTCTGTTGATTAAACTTTAACCATTATAATGTTATGGTTGAGTGCAGACATATTTCAGATTTCTCAAATAAGAAAAATTAATAAAAGTTCCAATATGTATGTAAAACTTGTAACTTGTACTAACAATATAATTCTTCCACCTCTACAAAAAATAAAAAAACGTTAAAATTGTTAATTGTATGCACTTTCTGGAGTGCCATTAACAAAAGTTATAATAACTTTCTGGAGTGCCATTACCAAAAGTTATAATAACTTTCTAGAGTGCCATTACCAAAAGTTATAATAACTTTCTGGAGTGCCATTACCAAAAGTTATAATAACTTGGGAATTTTAAATCTTACTTATATATATATATATATATATATATATATATATATATATATATATATATATATATATATATATATATATATATATATATATATATATATATACATATAATATACATATACATGGTTCATATTTAATGTTGTATTTTATTTATTGTCAAGACATCGAGAAACTTAAAGCAGAGATCTATGATTTGGCTGGAAATATGACATATGATGGGGAAAAAAATGGGGAGAAAATAATGGGTAAAATGTTTCCACAAAGTTATACAAAATTGGAAGAAAAAATAAATGAAATCAAAAATCAGAAAGTAAAAAATTGTGGAATTCCAATAATTAGTCAAGAAGAATTCATTTCAATGGGAAAGTCATTAAAATGTGATAATGATGTATTTCAAGATGATGACTTTGAACCAGCAACTAAGTTTCTGATGAACACAGGTTTCACAGCTTGATTTTAATCTTTATTGGTTATAATTTGCATATTTTTATATCAATCATAACATTTTTATTTTAACTGTTTATCTATAGTTACTTAGTTGACATTTTATTGTTACTAAAAACTGTTTTTAATATTGCAATTTAATTTGATCTTTGTTATTAAAGTAATTTTTATCTTTTATCTGTTTTGTTCATCTATTTTTATTAGTTGATTGAAAAAAAGCTCAAGGACCACCCATTTATCCAAGCAATTAGAGAATGGCTATCAAATTGTTGATTATTTTAAATTTTAAATAAATTTATGATAAAAAAATAAGCTCAAGGACCACAAAATAAACACATTTAAAGTGCATGACTAAACCATTCTTATATTAATGCTTTACAAATACAAAAAATAACTTTTATATACTAATTATTTTTAACTAGTTCTGTAAACCTCTTTTTTACAGTTTTCTAATATTTATTCTTGTCACAATAAGAAGTCAACTTCCTCTGATTGCTTGCAGGGGGCATTTGAACTTGAAAAGGATCTCACTTCTGCTACAGCATGGGACTCACAGTGGCTGGTGAACTTTAATTCAGATAAAACTCAATTTTTTTCAGCCAATCGTTATCGCAATAATTTAGACCTTCCTATATTTATGAATGGTAATGTGCTAGATAAGTCATCTACCCTTCATTTTCTAGAATTAACTCTTACTTCTGATCTTTCTTGGAAACCTTATATCAAATCCGTTGCAAAATTAGCATCTGCTAAAGTTGCATCTCTTTATCGAGCTAGACACTTACTTACTCTGGATTCTATTCTCTATCTCTATAAATCTCAAATCCATCCTTGTATGGAATACTATTGCCATATCTGGGGGGATCTTCTAATGATGTCTTTTCTATTTTATACAAGGTGCAAAAACGCATTGTAAACATAGTTTTTTTTTTTTTTTTTTTTTATTTGCATTCACTCCCAACAAGGCTGCAAGCAACCACTATTAAGTTGGGAGTTACTAGGAAAAAAAAGAACAGAGTTATAGAGCAAGGAAACGGTTGACAGAAGACTTGAAAAGTTGAAGGTTGTAGGAGTCAGAAAAACATGAGAATGGGAGAGAGTTCCAAAGGATTGAAGTGCGGGGAAAAAAACTAAATGAATAAAAAATTTTAGAGCATGCTGGGACAGATACAGTAAACAAATGAGACTCAGCTGAATGACGAGTAAAACGAGAATGAATTTTAGTTGATGGAACTAGAGATGATAACTCCTTTGAGCAGTGACCATGATAGTATCTGTAGAAAAGAGAAAGAGATGCAACTTTACGACGATGGGAAAGAGGTTCAAGCTTAGCAGATAGTCCAGGTCCAACAACATTTACAATGCGTTTTTGGACCTTGTCAAGAAGAGAAAGTGAATCGTTAGAAGAACCAGCCCAAATATGACAACAGTATTCCATACAGGGACGAATAAGAGATTTGTAGAGGTAGAGAATGGAATCAGAAGTAAGGAAATGGCGAGCACGATAAAGAGAAGCAACCTTAGCAGAAGCTAATTTAGCAATCGATTGTATATATGGTTTCCATGAAAGGTCAGTAGTAAGCGATAATCCAAGAAGACGTAAAGAGGACGACTCAGTAAGAGGATTGCCATTCATTAATATAGGAATGTTGACCATACTACGGTAGTTGTTTGCAGTAAGCAATTGGGTTTTTCTAGAGTTGAAATTCACAAGCCACTGTGAACCTCAATCTATTACTGAAGTGAGATCAGATTCAAGATCAGCTGCTTGTTCTAGGCGATCAAAAAGAGAAGACTTTTTGTCAAGACAGGATTATAAAGTTGAGTCATCAGCAAAAAGAGCTACTTTAGATGAAAAATTGTCAGGAAGATCGTTTATGTAGATAAGAAACAAAACAGGGCCCAGGATGGAACCTTGGGGAACCCCAGAAGTTACTGGAAATAAAGAAGAGTGTTGGCCTTCAAGGATGACTTTAATAAACCGGTCAGAAAGAAATGATTTGATAATCTCAAAAACTTTCCCAGAAACACCATATGAAGCAAGCTTATGGAGAAGACCAGCATGCCAAACTTTGTCGAAAGCTTTAGATATGTCGAGAGCAATAGCCCTAGCCTCACCGCCTCCATCTAATGCACGATAAAATCTTTCAGTTACAGCAGTTAGCAAGTCGGCCGTAGAGCGAGAGGATCGAAAAGCGTATTGATTGTCTGACAGCAGTTTATTTGACTCAAGATGAGATGTGAGGAATTTGTTGATTAAAGACTCAAAGACCTTGCTAATAACAGAAAGAAGACTGATCGGACGATAATTGGAGGGGTCAGAATTTTCTCCAGAGTTTTTGAATATTGGAACCACAGATGCCATTTTCCAACAAGCAGGAAAACAAGACTCAGTCAAACACTTGTTAAATAGTTTAGAGAGAATTGAAGAAAGTTCTGGAGAACAATTCTGCAAGACTGTGACAGGAATGTTGTCTGGACCACAAGCTGTAGACGAGTTTAATTGAGATATGACTTTAGCAACAGAAGCCGGAGTGATTTGAATGTCTAACAATGGGTCAACCTGTTTGACTGCAATGGAAGGAAGAGAATGTCCATAAGATTCAAGAGTGGAATTAGAAGAAAAGTTCTTTGCAAACAGTTCTGCCTTATCCCTGGGAGAGGTAACAAGATCAGTCCCATGAATGAGAGATGGAATGTTAGATCTACCCTTGTTAACAATGTTGTTGAAGATTTTCCAAAAGTCTTTAGAGCCTAACTTCTGCGATAAGATGCGAGATTTAGTGAACTGAGAATAATGGAGTTTAGCATCAGAAAGCACCTTTTTACATCGATTTCTTGCAATAATAAATAGCCGTTTGTTCTCAAGAGAGTTGTTCTTTTGAAAAAGATGAAAAAAATGGTTACGATTGGATATAGCAGCCGCACAAGAAGGAGAAAACCATGGAGTAGAATGAGGCTTGACTTGAAACCGACGAGAAGGAATAAAAGCTTCCATTCCAGCCTGAATCCAGGAGGTTACGTAGGAGGCGCATTTGTCAGCTGAGAGAGAAAAAACATCAGCCCAAGGACCATCACGAAGAAAATCACGAAAGGAATCCCAGTCAGCTTTAGAGTAGTAGTAGGTGGTGCGATGATAAGGTGAGCCCAAAAAAGAAATACGAGAAGAAAGATTTACAGAGATCATTGCGTGGTCAGAACTACCTAAGGGAGAAAAGGGAGAAACTGAACATAAGCTAGGGTCAGAGACAAGACATAAGTCAAGGAGTGAAGGTAAATGATTAGGGTTGTCAGGAAAACGAGTCACAAAGTTAACTATCTGAGTAAGAGATTGAGAAACGCAGAAGTTAAAGGCTTTAGTGCCAGCAGGATCAGTAGTGTTAGAGCCAAGCCATTCAGTGTGATTGGCATTAAAATCACCAACAACAACAATATTGGCAGAGGGGTAAAGAGAGAGGGCCTGGTCAATTTGATCAGAGATAACATCTAAAAGTGTGCAATCATGGGAAGAAGGAGAACGATAAAGAACGAAGAGAAAGGTGATAGAGTGAAGAGGTGCTAGGCGAAAGCACATAAAAGAATGGTCAAAGGATTCAAACCTGATTTCACGACAAATAGGGGAATTAATGCGTATGTAAACCCCTAAGTCTAGCATGTGACTATTGGAGTCTTTACGAATCAAAGGATAGTACCCATCAACACTGACATCTGAAGAAGGAATTGCAGAACTTAAATTTGTTTCACTGAGTGCAAGCAAGTCTGGTGAATTTTGCAGGAGGTAAGACTCAACTGATGGAAAGCTGCTTCGTAGACCGCGAATATTTGTAAAAGATATATTAAAATATTTAGGTGGTGGGGATGGTTTTTTAGGTTTTAAATTTTTGCTTACTTTGGTCATGATTTGGGTTTAATGAGAACTTGACTCATTCATAGATAGAGCACAGCCTCCTAATCAATGAGCTATGCAGTTGTCTCAGTCCTGTTAATTAACCCTAAGCCGTGACATAGGGCTCCTTATGTGGCCTTGGCAATGCACACCAAAAGCATTAACAGGGACACCATCCATGCGCAACATGGCACTGTTAATACTCTGATATTTTGCAGCTGTTGATGGAATCAGCCTCTCTGAGAGCTACCACAGAGTTCGGGAAACCTTACTACCAGCCGGCCTCAGAACCATTAAACTGAGTTTTAGAGCTGTACCCTCATATGGAGATAACAGGAAGAGTTGCATAGCCATTATCAAGGAGGCATAAGCAAAATTCTATGAGTAGAGTCAAGGAGATCCAGCATTCATCATCCTAAGCAGGAAACAATGTAACACAGGTTACATCTACGCCAGCCTAATAGATGAAGAAGGGGTTCGAGGCTGGTTAGCAGAATTTTTCTGCTTACCCCTAAAGTCTATGCCTAGAGGCCTTCTACAAGACAGTAGCAGGATGCAATTAACATCTGCCTAAGATGAGTATTTTTATCGAGACACCATCTCTAGCCTTTACTCAACCAAGAGCCCCAAGGCAGGGGATGTTTAGCTGGATGCAGTTAACATCTGCCCAAGATGAGTATTTTTATCGAGACACCATCTCTAGCCTTTACTCAACCAAGAGCCCCAAGGCAGGGGATGTTTAGCTGGATGCAGTTAACATCTGCCCAAGATGAGTATTTTTATCGAGACACCATCTCTAGCCTTTACTCAACCAAGAGCCCCAAGGCAGGGGATGTTTAGCTGGATGCAGTTAACATCTGCCCAAGATGAGTGTTTTTATCGAGACACCATCTCTAGCCTTTACTCAACCAAGAGCCCCAAGGCAGGGGAATTTTTAGTCGGAGTTTATTTCTCCTAGCCTTTGCATAAGAAGAGCACACTCTGCAAGGCAGCAGGACTTGTGGCAGGTGGTACTGGGTTACGTGATACCAGTAGCAAGATCGATCTCGATTATCCTGACCTGACCTGGAGTAGTTAAAAGGAGTTACTTCCCGCAACAGTACTTTGAGA